TAACTAACGGCTTTAAATACATTAAGGAACTGCTTTTACAAATCCACAACTTCAGGATGTATGAAGATTACTACAAGTTGGTAGAGGCAGGGGTTCAGGTCAATTATGTTAAGACCGACGCGTTTTTAATCAAGACAGGTGACTTAACCAAGGCTAAGAAACTACTTAACTTCTCAAAGGAGATTGGTGGCTGGAGAGTTGAGAAAGGCAAACCGTTTGTAGCCCCAACTGACGACTATGAAATGAAACCCAACGAACTCGTTGAAATCCCAACCTACGAGAACGAAAGGGTGACGGTAGAGGACGAGTGGGATACTCAGGTGATATGTCGGCAAATAGTTGAACAGAACCCAGTAATCATAAAAGCTAAATACGCTGGTTCGGGTAAGAGCTACATAGGCGAGTATATGAAGAATTTAGGTTATAATGTGCTATTTGTATGTCCAACAAACCAACTGCTACAAAACACCCAAACTGATGCCACAACTAATAATAAATTCTTCGCCATACCTATGGAGAAGGGGGATAAAATGGAATCCTTTGACCACAGTAGTTATAACTGCATAGTGTTTGATGAAGTTGGTATGGGAGGGATGTATGTATTAAATAAGATAAGAGAATTCGTTAAGAAACACGCCAAGGATAAGATAATTATAGCCACTTCTGATGGGAAACAACTGCCACCAATAAAGGATACAACCAACACGCGAGACCACGAGACATATCTAAACGAATGCATTAACCAAATATTCAAATACAGGATTTATCTTAGAATATCCAAGAGACTTAAGAAGAGGAGCGATAAAATAAAACTCAAGCATATATATGATGACATCTGGAAACATAAACTGCCCATTGAGCAGATTGTGGAGAAGTACTTTAAAACAACTGGCGATTTAATGGCATCCGAACACAACATAGCATATACCAATAAACGGTGCTTGTATGTATCAAACACGATAAGAAAAAACTTAGGAAAGAAAAATAAATATGAAGTGGGTGAGTATATGATATGCAGAAAGTATAAGAAGGAAGGGGCGACCACCTTTAATGTCAATTTTAAGTACCAGATTAAGGGCATCGGGGCAGATGGGGTAGTGCTACAGAACATAAAGACCAACGAGCTATTCAAGACCAGCATAACTACACTGGATGAGCATTTTAGATATGCTTACTGTACCACCTGTCATTCGTCACAAGGTGCTTCGGTTGATAAATCCATTACGATACACGAGTGGCAGAAGCAACACTTAGTGACGAGAGAGTGGCTATGGACTTCATTAACAAGGGCTACTGACATTAATAAGGTTATGTTCTACAAATCGGTGGAGAATGATAATGAACTAAACGAGACCACACTAATGCGATACTTAGACAACAAGGTTAAGCGCTACAAAATACAAGACCTGAAGGCAGGTAGGAACGTGGAAGATGCCGATTATATTGATGTGAAGTGGCTTTATGATAGGATGAACAATAGATGTAATAAATGCGGTTGCGGGTTTGAGTTTGATATTAAATGCGGGGAGGTGGTAAGTAATCTAACAGCCCAGCGTTTAAATAATGAGATGCCACACATTAAAGATAATTGTATAGCCTACTGTCATTACTGTAACTGCAGTTCTAAATGATGACAATAATGTATAATATCTTGTTTATAATAATGAGTTCTAAACAAGATATTATTAGCGAGGTGTATTTTGATAGGAGCGGTTTCGGTAGTAGGGCGCGGACACTACAAGAAGCAAGGAGGAAAGATAAAAGTATAACAGCAGATGATATTAATGAGTTTTTTAGGAAGAACGTAGAACAAAAGCGAAGACCAACAGGCAGAAACAGTTTTGTTGCTCCTCACTCTGCATATGAATATCAAATAGATTTATTTTTTATTAATGATATGGAGAATCAAAAATTTAGAGTGGGAATGCTAACGATTGATGTTTTTGATAAGTTTATGCACGTTGTACCTATTAAGGGCAAAACAGAGGAAGATTTAGCCAGTGGTATTATAGAATCCTTAAACAAAATGGGTAAGATTCCAAAGGTCGTTTATACAGATGATGAAGGAGCGCTGAGCAAGGAATCAATACAAACATATTTCAAAGAGCAAAACATACAACACCACATAACAAGAGCACACCCCAACTTTAGCGAGAGGGCGATACGAACGTTTAAAGATTTGTTGTACAGAAGGGTTGAAGCGGATGAGAAAAAAGGGAAACAAAATATTCAGTGGATAGACTATATATACGAAATACTACTGACTTATAACAATGTTATGAAACATTCTGCTACAGAAATGACACCGAAAGAGGCGAGAAAGCCGTCAAACGAGTTGGAAGTCAAGTTGAATTTAGCAAAAAAAGCTAAACAAAATAAAGTATATCCTGACTTGGATAAGGGAGACGAGGTTAAAATATTTAGGAAAAGAAAGCCTAATGAAAAAGAAAGGGTAGGCAATTGGTCAAAGAATGTATACACAGTTGAAAAAATAGAGGAGAAATTAGGTCAAAAATATTATTATGTGGAGGGTATGACCAGAGGGTATTTGAGGTTTGAGTTATTAAAGGTTTAGAAACAATTCAAGGGCTTCCCAAGTGTTGGGGACTTGAGTCCCAAAGTTCGGGGATTGGAGTCCCCAAATTCGGGGATTGCAGTCCCAAGGTTCGGGGATTCGGGGACCCGAGTCCCACAATTCGGGGATTCGGGGACCCGAGTCCCAAAGTTCGGGGACTGGAGTCCCAAGATTCGGGGACGGAGACTTTGACAGCTAGCCTAGGGGGTTTGAAACCACTCAAGGAAGAAACCATTTAAAGACAAGAAGACTTTACATATTAGAATATGGAGACTGAAACGAAAACCTGTTCAAAATGTAAAAAGACAAAGGAAATCAATGAGTTCTACAAATCACAGTGTTTGAAGTGCTACAACTACCAAAAGGACTACAGGCAACAACACTTAGAGCAAGAAAATGAAAGGGGTAGGAGATACAAAGCTGAAGACCGACAAAACAACCCCGAAAAATATAGAGAGCAAAATGCAAGATACAAAGAGACAGTCAAGGACATCGTTATTACCTGTCCTGTGTGTAACTACGACATCAAGAAATACAAGAAATCACAACACGAAAAATCAAAGTTCCATCAGGATAACTTGGCAAGACAGTTGAATCCTGACACGGAAGCCTTACCCGAACCTGATGAAATAAAGGTAGTAGATGGCAAGAAAACGTATTACTGCTATGCTTGTAAGTGTTCTATGATGTGTTGGGCTTGGAAGAACCACGTAGAACAACATACACATATAGAAGCCATCAAAAAAAACGTGAAGCACAAACACAGTAATTGATACAATCTATTCTAAAATAAATTGTTGAAAGATTTTGTTAATATTCCTTTATATTAACAATATCTTGTATGAACTACTGCCCCCAAGCCCCGAATTACGCGAAGCATTGCCCCGCAATCCCAAAAAACCCATAGTTTCTATCAACCTAGGCACGCCCATTGGAAAGATGGTCTTAGAAAGCATTTAAAGGAATACTTATATTAAATAGTAGTATGGAAACTGTCAAACGATGTAGCAGATGTAGAAAAGAGAAGGAGGAAGATGAATTCAAGGAGGGGCGCCGTGTTTGTATCCCGTGCTCGGATGCTTGTAGCAAAAACCAACAGGACAACCCAGAAAAGGCGAGGGAGAAATGCCAAAGGTATTACGAGAAGAAGCGAGAAGTCATATTAGAGAATAAAAGAGAAAAGACTTGGTGTGACTTATGCGAAATGTATGTAGTCAAAGACCAATACCAGAGACATACAAAAACGATAAGACACCAACATTACTTAAAATTGGAAGAAGGTGAGGAGTCTGATGTGGAAGATGCCAAGAATAAATTTTGGTGCGAGACTTGTAGAATTTGGCTAAGTAAGAAGACAAGGACATCGCATTTTGGAACACCGAGACACCTTGAATTGGCACAGCGCAGGCAGGGATAATACTGCTTGATACATTCAATTTAAATTATTCAATGTATCAAGGAATTTTTTGGGTTGATTTTTGGTCGGGGAAAGTCTGGCGTGCGTAGTATGACGACGAGCAAGCCCTCTGCTAACTGGTTCAAGGGGGGAGGGTATAAGGAATCCTTAGGGGACTGTAAGGGAACCTTAGGGAGTACTAGGGAGAATTAGGGATCACTAGGCTATATACCCCCCTTGGACCCCCCCCCCCCCTTAAGGACATCCTAACTGTAGGTGAATCGAGGTCCGGGCTCCCTTGGCCCAACATAAACAGAGGAAACCTTGAAAACTAGGGGGGGGTACCTTCTTTGGGGTCCTTATACTAAGGATCCTACTATGGGGGTTACGGCCCGAACGGCCTTGGGTCCCCAGATTTCGTTGGAAAGCGCCTTGTGCATCTCCTCCGGGTGGGGAGGGGGTAGGGTTTAGGGTTTAGGGTTTAGGGTTTAGGGTTTGGGGTTTAGGGTTTAGGGTTTGGGGTTTAGGGTTTAGGGTTTAGGGTTTAGGGTTGATGACATAAATTCCTAGGGTTCCTTCAAAGGGATCTACAGGGGTACCTTTAAGGGCTTCCTTTATAGATAGTGCACGATAGCACGAATCGCACACACACTTTTTGTCTTGAGCCAATCAACAGTAAAGGTCGGTAGACATACGTACAAAGAGCAATAAAACACCCCCCGCGCCTCTTAGGGCAGCGAAGAGAGGCGAAAGTAGAAGTACAGTATGCTACCAACATGTTGCGAATGCAAAAGCAGGCTGATTTTACACCTTAGGTGCAACAAAGCTCTTAGAAAGATCTCAACACTCCTGACGTGCCATGTCCCATCAGTTCCGGCCCTTTACTTAGGCCGTCCCGTCAGGGAGGCAGAACAATGGACATGGAGCAGATAAACTACTCTTACATGTCCGACCCGTCAGGGTGGAGAATACAGCACAACGAACCGAAAATGTTAATTAGCTGCTACTGTACTGCACAAGACGCGGCAGTCAGTACAGGCGGATCCCGTTTTGGGTCTCTTTCCAGCCAGCGAGGAAGTAGCCCACATGCTCCGGTGCCAGGAGGTGGAAGTCGTTCAAATCGTGAAAAGCCGGTACCGCACGATCTTCCATTCCTCTGGGAACGTTCTTGTCCCGAGAAGCCTTGAGGCGAGCCCAAAGCAGCGCATCATGCCGGGTAAAGTACGGTCGGCGCGACTGCGATGGGTCAATAGGGTTCCCCCTTGAATCGACAACCAAGGTCGTTGGTGGAGGCCCTTTTGGCTCGGGCGGACGCATCGGTGCATCCGTTGACGATCCTGGCACATCCCTTCCGGGTGGCGGATAGCTGGGCTCGGTTGGCCGCAGACGGGTAGCTGCCACTCCCGGAGAAGGGTCGCGTGGGCGCGCTCGTGGCTTCGGGGGAACTGAGCCAGCTCGCTGTGCACTGCCAGTCGCTCGAGTAGTAGGCCTCGCCTTAGGAATCGGTGGCTGAGCTGATCTGCCTCTGATCTCCGTCCGCCCTGCTCGAAAGGCATATCCGATCCTCTCATTGACGCCCTTGGCGCCGGGGAGCTGTCTCGCGAACTTCGTGTTGATGAGAAGCTCGTTCAGCTGTCTGTCCCCAAGAGAGGCGAGCCCTTCCGGGACGCGGAGTTCCTGATTGGCAGGTAAGACCAGCTCAGGCACCTGTTCGCCGCGCTCAACTGCATATCGTACCTCGTCTTGGAAGAATCCCACAATCCTAGCCAAGATCTGTACCACTGGACCGGTCGGCTTCAAGATGCGACCGCTGAAGCCCAGTATGTCCATAACGTAGCCATTGCGATGGACGGCAAACGCTAGCAAGGCGGCTTCGTCAAGCTTATAGAACCTGTCCACGAACGCCACAAAGCAGTGGTCCGTAAGTGTCAGGTCCTCACCTTCCGGTGGGAATGAGAAGCTCACCTTCGCTGCGCCGTCAAAGCCAGTGCGGTCATGGATCATCTGGCGTGACCTCGGCGGGTTGGCGATCCTCATTCGGGCGAAAATCATGAGTTGCTCAAGCCCCGTGATGGATATGCCAAATCTTGCATTGTTGTAGGCCGTGAACGGATCACGAGACTGACGCTCAACAACAGTGCGAGAACCCGCCTTTAAGGCCTTTCCGAGGTACTTAGCAGCCTGCTGGCGAACAGCGGCTGGGCCAGAGCCAGCACTTCTATCCCTCTTGTTGCCCGTGGCCCGATTGGAGTTGACCTCCCCGCTCGGTTGCAATGCCCTGTAATCCAGGGGCTCACCCTTCCGGGCGGCAACTTGCTTTGCACGGGTGTTCTCCAAGGCCATGCTCACATCTGAGTGCGGCTCCAGTCGAGACTCACATCGATAGCAGCAGATTGTACCATCAACGTTGGATGTACCGCAGCTCGGGCAAGCAAAAGAAGGAATGCTGACATTCTCTTGGCGGCGCCAATCCGATTCATCATTGCATCTCTGATGAGGGTGCTTCGGAGCCACGTGAACCACCATTTTGTACAACGACTCAGAGCCCTGCAAGGCATGCCCTTCCGGGATGCGAATGTCTAGACCACACATGCTTGTTGGGTAGAAATCAAGGTCGTAGACATCCTTGCATGCCTTAGCGGCGTCTTTCCAGGTGTCGAAATTGCGATACCCTAGGCCTGCCACGAGGTAGTTGAAGCAATAGCCGTTTGCATCGATCAGTTCCTGGTGACCCCGCTCGCCATAAATGGGCGTGTTGAGGCTCTTGTCTTTGCACGCCTGGGCCAAGCGCTTCCGCGCTGGTTCGTATGCTCGGTTCGCCCAGATCATCTCCTGAGTCGACCGGTCATATGCATACAGAATGGCCCGGTTGCTGATCCAATCCGGCGTCTGCAGCGCTCCAGCTTTTGTCTCGAAAAACCGACAGCCATCGCAAGCAGCGAGCTGTAAGTCTATCACAAATTCCAGCTGCGCGCCAGGGCGGACACCCTGATTGGAGGTGCGTTCCCACTGAGGCTCCATCGCGAACATGTTGAAGGGCCTCCCGCTGTTGCCCTTCGAGGTCATTTTCCCTCCCGGGATGAGGCCTGTGTTGACGATCTTGATGAAATTTCGCCAGTATGTGGCGTGGTACGCCAGCTTTGGCATCAGATCGAAGGCCGTTGCCCGATAAGGATATGGACCCGTGATCGGTAGATCAACATAGGACGGGATCCATTGATCATCGAGGGCCCACTGTTTGACAGTGGTCTTCAGCGGGTCACTGCCGAGGACGAGCAAGCAGGCGTTGTGTCCTTGGAATGCTCGGACACGGGTAAAGTGCCAGTTTGTTCCCCGGCCCAACCGTGTCTCCTCGTCCAAGGCTTCCGCCTGGAGTTCGAACCGTGCTTTGTCACAGTGATCGGACGTCAACAGGTCAATAATGGTCATCACCGTCAGGCGGGACCACTGTTTCCCAATGACCTTCAAGACATCACCAATCTCTGCTGACTGCTCTTCGTCGAACTCAACAGTGCGGAACCCCTTGTCCTTGGCATGCCCACGCAGGTGCCACGACAGCTTTTTGCCCAACGAAACACACTCCATCTCATTGAGGCGAAAGTATCCCATGCGACCCTTGACATCAGGTAGCTGATCCGGTGTAAGCCAGATGGGTCCACCACTTCCGCGGGGATGCTCCACTTCGTCATCTGCGCCGTAGTCCACAGCCATCGGACCAGAGTCCCAGACTTCCGTCGGGATGTCGGAAGTAGCAATCGTAGAGACTGCCTCACCATCCACGACAGATGTAGCTGTGACATTCGGCTCAACAAACTCGTATGGAGCAACACCCGTCTCCTGGGCGACCTCTTCAGCCTCCTTATCCGTCATCACCAGGTTCACCGACTCAATCATTTTTCGAACGATTTGTTCCATCTCCGAGCCGGGGTCAACCGCTTCCACGGTGAGGTGCTCGTCCTCCGGATTCGGGTTACGAGACACTACGTCCTCAACCGTGAGCTCCTCTGATTCTTTTGCCACTTCATTGACATAGTCAGTGGGCGGTACACCCTCAAGCTCGTCAAGCTTTTCCAAGCTGAAGATCGGCTGGTTCAAGACAATCTCCTCCTCTGGGAAACGTTGCACGGGCGGTGCCTCAGGTGGGAAAGTCACCATCTCAGCTTCCGCCGGAATGAGCAAGTCCGTGGTAGGAGGGATGTCGAGCTCTTCCAAGCCGAGTCCGAGGTGAAAGTGGTTGTGAAAGAGGATACCACGCGAATTGGCCTTAAGTTCCATCGCGTGCTTCACAAGCCACCGCTCGAACATGATTGCAGAGCAAAGGTGAAAGAACCAGCGGGCGGTTACCTTCACATTGTCGTGGGTAGCCTCCATGTGAAACCCATCGTAACGCTCTGTCGTAAGGATGTGAGCCTGGGGATCAACGATGCGGATCCCTCGCTCCTTCAACTCATCGGAATGGCGTGCCATCTCCAGGTCATAGACCTCCGGGAGACCATAGAATTCCCCATTGTGGGGGCCAGCCACCAACGTGACAGAGGACACTCCCTTCCGGGATGAGAGACGGACCAGGGCATCTTTTGGGTCCTCGACGGCCTTGCGTCCCTTGGTCTCCCAATTGGAAAGTGTGTCATGCAATGCATCATCAACACGAACCCACGCATTGCGCATGTGGAAGGAAAAGCCTTTGTAACCATACTCGCCATAGACGTCATTACCACCCCATTGAATGATAATGTCGACACCTTCCGGTGCGAGCGGTTCCTGGCCGTTCTTCCACTTCTGGACTCGGTTGAGCTCTTGTTCCACGTGCCACACGATGTCTCCAAGTCCTTTTCCCCAGCGCATGACGACCGAACATCCATCCATGCGAATGTCCTTGGTCATCTCCTCCCGGAGTGACGGTTCCATCGTCCCCTTCATCAGGACGCGTCCACCGTCGCCGCGGGTCACCAACGCGAGAGAGCTATCTCCTCCGATAATAAAATACGAGCTTGGTTGCTCTTGATGCTCGATTCTTCGGAGGGCTGGAGTATACACCGAGTCTAACAACGCCGTGGCAGCTGGCATTAACTCGTGGTAGCCCAGGGTTTCCTGGGATAGCACATACGCTCTGTGACAGACATCAAACGGCTCAGTGGCCTTGAGAGCCCGTTCGGCGTTTGTGGCATGCCCCACATAAGCCAGGTCGCGGAGATAAGCTTTGACAAGTTCTGTCCACTCCGTCAGGAGGGAATCGCCATGGAGCTCGAAGCCCTCAATCGGCATTCCCTGATGAGCCGGGCTGTTGAAATGGCGGTGCCACATCTCGTACAGGAGGGGAAAACCTGCGTAGGGGTACTGCTTCCGCAGACCAATCCACTCGCCGTTTCGGATACGGCCGAGGAAAATGGCCTCTGGCGGATCAGACTCCGCAGGCTCCACCAGCTTGTACTGGTACGCCTCCTTCACAACGCCATAGGCATCCTTAAAATATGCCGGTTCCTCAAAGGCCATCGCTTCGCGAGGCAATCAGGGTCCTTAAGAGCCCTGCGGAAAGCCTCGATGCGTCGGCGACGCTCCTCCAGAGAAACGGTGGGCAAAGAGGATGCCATCACTGCTGCGCTTCCTATTGGATCTTCGCTCAGAGTAACTTGTACCGCAACAGCAGCTTGTCGAACAGGAAATTGTGGCTCTGAAATGTTCTTGAGCTTACAGCCATGAAAATAGTTCATCACTTCAATTGGCAAATTCTTGTAGGAAGTATGCAATCTCCAATGACCTAAATTGCCTGATCTTTCGCCATCAAGAAGTTCAAAACTCGTACACTCATGATTGGAACACCACCTGACAACTCGATCCATCTTCCATGAGAAATGATCCCAGGGAGCAATAACGACGTAATGGCAGTTATTCAAATCCAATCCGGTGCTTAAGTTGACGAAAGAAGACCATAGCTTGCCAAAGTGTTTGCGATCATCAGGACCCCCCGCAAAGCGCAGGTCAACCCAAACGGTAATGGGAACATTCGACTTGGCATAGCCTTTGACGACCTTGAGCAAGTCCCTACTCGTCTGAGTACTGTTAAGGTCCATGCTATGAGTGACCCGAACGACAGATGGGCTACCGCTACCACTATCGTCTGCCCTTCCGAGCAGAGAGAACGACGGATCATGTCCCCATTCGATGAGAACCCCGTTGTTCTCGGGCTCGATCCTCTTCTCGAGGTTGTCCGGCACGACGATTGGCGAAGCAGGCCTTGATGGTTTGACATAGACATGGCCAATGAGGAAAACCGCTCTCTTCCATTTGTCAATGTTGGTAAATGGCTTAGTCAAAATGTCGGCAGACTGCAACAAGGTACTAATGTACGCGAGATCATAATGCTTCCTTCTGAATTGTTCCGATACCCATCCGAGGTTGATTCTTTGGGTTTTGTCTGTGTGCCTAAATGCCGGTGACCTTCCGGACTCCATGATCCTAATAGTGGCCTGGTTATCTTCCAACATCACAGGTTGCATGCAATGTGGTGCAGCCATGATCAATGAATGATCGGATCTGATCTTTGCATCATCGGTGTACTCGAAGTCGCCAAGTCCATGACGGAGCTTGTAAGCCTCATAATTCAATTCGGCTTCTGCTTCCGCAGAGCGACGATACTCCAATGATGACTTCCGGTACAGGCACAAGATGGCTTTAGCATCCTTCGGAACAATATAGGAGGCATTCTCGAGCTCTTCCCAAGCGACAGCTTCTTCTGTTCTGGACCATTTGTCCCCCCGGAGCAACCATACATCTCGAAGAGGGTGGGATGCAAGCTCAACGGGTTCAGGGATACTGTCACCGCCTGAAAGAACAGCTACTCGACAATCAATAAGTTCATGTCTACCAGTCTTCGGTACCTGAGAGGCAACATCCTGATCTGGGAATTTGACCAAACAGGCATCTCCCTTCCGGGGTGCGCTCGGCTTTGATGCGTCTGAACCCCCCCTGCCTTCAGGAGCACACTCCATAAAGCGGAGGATGGCAAACCAACAGTCCTCAAAGCAATATTGGCGCATACGACCTCGGACTCGGTAGAACTAATAGAAATTGAGGTTTGCTTCTTGCTGTAAGCCGCCAAAGGAAAGTACGTGTTTGGTCCGACCAAAGCCTCGAAGCATCCTGATGTACTCTTGTTATCATGCTCACCTGCATGATCTGCATCAGCAAACAACCATATTTTGCACTGGTCAATCGGGTCACCGATGAATCCCCTCAACTTCAAGTCTAGGGTGGAATTCACATAACACATCAATCGGTGTAAAGCCCGGTCGCATTCAGCAGACCACTTGGTGACTCTGCTTGCCAATCCCTGAACAGCCCGTAAAAGATCATAACGAGCCATCCTGGCAGCAAACAAAAGTTTCATCAGAACTCGGCTAGCGATAGGAGCCAATTCACCCTTTGCCTCGGCCTCATCGTCGATGGGCCTCGCGATCTTCTCGTCGGCGAAAGGAGTAGAGGCTGACTTGAGAGTGTGATACTTGGGGCCAGCAAGGTCTTTGTACTTTTGTACAGCTTGTTCAAGAAAAGACTTCATGTCATACTCGATGATGTTGACGGGTTGTTTCATGCATCCGGTGCCACTCGACAATTGGCTGATGTCATAGAAAGCCTGTTTCCTAGCTTCCTTTTTAGCTGTGTTCTTGTCACGAATGCGCTTAACAGCAGCCACGGCATGATGCTTATCAATACCACGATCAAACAAGTAAGTGGTTCCCGTCCAAAGTCCCGAAGCCTTACCCCCCCGGAAACCATCATCCCATTGTTCTTCTGCAGAAGTACTTCCAAGAAGCTGACGTTCGGTCAACCGCAGGTCGCCGATGTTCAAGACGTCTGCTTCCGCAGCGCTAACAGCATACTTGGCTTTGCGAGGCTGCATATGATGGCGAACAATAACACCTTCATCAGGAAAGTACTCCGTATAATCCTGGGACGTAGCCGGAACCGAAGGTTTGGCCGCGGGGTCAGGAATACTCTTATCAAAGATGTGGGCAAAGGGATGGTCAGCTGTTCCCAGTTGAACTTTCTTCTTCTCTACATGTTCACACCCAAGGTATCTTCCAAGTGGAGTCGGGCTATCCATATCGATCTTGGACCCGATCAGCTTCCACCCTTCCTGCATATTCTCAACAGGTCCAGCCATCTTGAAATCATCAACGTAGACGGCTAAGAGTAGGCGAAGCTTAGGATGAAAGAAAACCGAAGGCCACGAAGAGGGAAACAGAAGATCAAAACCCACTTGCTTGAGTCTCTGCTCACAATGCTTCTCCCAGAAGCCCCCCGAATCAGGGTGTCCGTACAGCGCAAGGAAAAGCCGAACTACTGGATCCTTGAACTTGCCAACCCAGGACTTAGGCCACCGCTCCCTTGGTAATCGAACCCAAGTTTCAGCGCCTTTCAAAGTCGTCTGAGTGTAAGCTTGCTTACCGTCGGCCTGTTCACAGGCGAAACCTGGCTGAGATCCGTACGTATCCAGCACCTTGCCCGCCTCCATCGAAGCAGGGCTCGAACCTAACTCCGAGAACAGGGCGGCGTTGCTGCTTTCGTCCTGGACATTATTACCCTGGAAGACCGTACGGCCTTTGAACTTCCTCAGGGGATTTCCTTTGGGGAGTTCGCTCCCTTTTTCTACACAGATTTCGAAAACACGTCCAACATGGGCCTTGCGACCCCGTCTGACGGCTTCCGCCGAGATCTCAGACCACTCCCGTGGGTTATCCATATCCCATGCTCGCTTTTGCATCAACTTATCCCATTCCACGTCAAGTGATTTCTGGGCGTCGTTGTTCTCCGCGAGCTCCTTCTTGCCAACCGGACGAGCCACTAAGGCCATCATAACTTCCAGCTCAGATTGGGTGAACTGGTGGTCATTACCAATCTTTTCGCGATGTTCCCCACTTCGTGGGATCGTTGGCATAGTCGGATAGGGTTCCCCCACGATATGAGCACTGCTAGTACCCAAGGGTAGGATCTCAAAGATGGTTTTGCCGGTCCATCTAAAAGGCAATTTCTTGTTCCTTCTTCGCGGGTTTGTCCAATCATCTTCATCAGCAACAGTGTCCTCCGTTCCCACGGGGATGATCTGCAAGATCCTTGTCGGCTTTATCCTAGAAGTGGGAATGGGACAATCGGTGATATCAGGAGAGAAAAGTTCTCGTCTAGGAACACAATGATACCGCACTAACTTGTTTCCCTTGATCTCCCATCGATCTCGGGATGCACCAAGCGTTGCAGCAGGCTTTGAACTCGATGATCCGCCACCTGCCCGATCGGCACCTTCATGATATTCCCTAGCGATTTTCGATGCTTCTTCCGCTATCGCCTTATCTTTCTGCCTCTTGGACAAATTGACCCATATATGAGAAGGAATGCTATCCGGCTTCTTTGAACCTCTGGACCCTCCATATCTCCTACCAAGAGTTCCACTGGAGTCATAGAATCGTCCGCCTTCGGGCAACTCAACGAGGTCACCTGATTTGGGATCAATAACTTTAGGTACTTCTACTTCAGCCTCACCGTCCCCAGGAGGATCTACGACTGATTCCGCATCCTGATTTCTCAGAGATTCAACGACAGGCTTTTCGATGGCGTCATGCGCTAGCCCGTCTCGGACACGGTTATAACGTTCGACCATGGGGAAAGTGAACTCACCGTCAGGCACTTTCAATTGATGCACCTTACTAGGCTTGTAGTACTCGTAGAAGTCACTTCCATTCAGCTTGGATATCGGAATTACCAACATCTCTTCACGCCAACGCATTCCTGGTTGGAAGTGGTAACCCATGAAGATCCCATGTTCTGATGAACTCTCAAATCTTTCGTACCCTTGCAGCTTCCGCTGTTCTCGAGTACCGACCCAGTAGTCTACTCGGCAACCAAATGGAATCAACGGCCCATGAAAGTCCTTGCCGAACCGCAAAGTCCATGAAGAGTACTTCGCACCATTGGGATGGCTTATGTTATGGGCAACACAAGCATGTTGTAAGGCATGGGGCCAATAAGCCTGAGCCAGACCGGCTTGCTCCAGATTCGCTCTGGTGTCTTCCGTAACAGTCCTGATCGCACGCTCAGCCATGGCATTGGACTGATGGACATAGGCCTTAGAATGTTCATGCTTCCAGCCCATTTCTTCTACTGCCCCATTAATTTCAGGAGCATTGTCACTGTAGAAGATGCCAACATCTTCATTGTTAGCAACAAAGTGGTTGAGCGCCTTATAGCACTCGTCCTGAGACTTCCGTCCGGAGGGATAGGCCGCGAGGAAACCCGTTGCCACGTCCTTCATAACCAAAGCTAATCGCGAATCCTTAATCTCTTCTTCGTTGTCGCGATAGACAATGAGATGATCCCCAGTGAGATGGTCGCCGAATTTCTCAGACTCAATGAACCTGGAACCATTCGTTTGATACGAAGGCGGCTTGAACATCTTCGCTCTTTGGCATGTAGGGCAAAAGGGGTTGTTTGGGACGTGTGTCATCAGATGATGTTTGCTCTTAGCTTCTTCACGTAAAACCTTCTCTCCCTTCGAACGCTTATCTGCCTCAGCAGGAACAGGAGGAGGAGGTGGCTGATCCTCGGCACTTTTCAACTCCCCGGCTTCATCGAAATGCTCCTCAATATCAAAAAGATCAGACATGTCTGCACCCTTTTCAGGCTCGGGCTCAGGCTTCCGCCCGGCATCAGGCTTGCTGGGCTTAGACTTGGCCTTACTCTTCATCAGAGGAGGAGCTGGTTCAGGAACCTTATCTTTCTCGGCTTCGGCTTTCTTCTTCTTCTTCACAAAGTCGTAAAGTGTGAGCTCTTCATCGCTGTCGCCGGTAATCAATGATGGAACAAATGGTAACCGTCTTGATGAATTCAACTGAAACCCAAGCGACATTAGCGACTTTGACTTTTCCCAGCTCAACCCGTCTACATCCCGAATCGTGTATGCAGTGATGGTCCATCGATCACCTGTCCAAGGCTGTGCCTGATGCCAAAGCTTGGGGTGGAAGGATAACATTCGATCATGAGTGTCGTATACTCTTCCATTGACTTCGAGTCCCCCCGTAACCTTGACGCACTTTGATTTCCCACCAGCTACACCTTCTCTGCGAAATACGGGAGTGTCGTCCTTCCGCTCAACCCATACGGAACCACCATGATAGCTTCCAACGCCTAGAGTGTGATTGAGCGAGTCATCATGATTCAACAAGTCTCGATGCACCCGGCGATTGCCACCATGGTTGATGCAGATGGACGTAAAGGTATCTTTCAACCCTCTTGACTTCATGAAGGCGATCAGGTACTTGGTCAGCTGAGCATGACGGTCTACAGAAGTTGTGATTCCAGTCATACCGCTAAAAATCCAAGCGCCGATGATTATGTAGTCCCTGCCAACTTCATCTTCAACCGAGTCGTCATTTTCAGTAGCTTTCATTCTCCTCGAATTCCCTGTAGACTTGAATGGTGTCAATTTCAAAAGTTTGTAACACGATCCCAGACGAAAGTCGCCGTTGATCCGAAGTTCCCTTGCATATCCCTCAGCCTCTTCAAGCGAAAGAACCAAATCATTCTTATGGTCCTCATCGGGCTGGGGCTTCCGCCTCGCAGGTACCGCCACACCTTCCTTCCACGATTTGAGGTAGGGGACGTAATCCTTCACATCCATATATATCCGCTCACCGCTAGATGACTGAAAGTAAGGTCTTGTACCCGATCTCCAAACGAAATCGAATCCCTCTTCCATGCATCTGTAACCAACGGATAGAACAGAGGGTGTGCTAGGCAACACGTATGGATGGCTGTCTATTCCAAGTGAAGGAACTGCGATGTTGGACTGAATCTCAGCAGTGCTAGGCCCATTAGCCGTCACAATACCGATAGGATTTTGGGAACGATGGCTTCTCAAAGATCCGAGATCCCCCTGTGAAACCAGGTCCTGGGCGCTGCCGGTATCCGCGATCCACTCAATGTCGAGCTGCTGGGCTTCCGCTTTGGTAGCTGCAACACAGGTAGCTTCAATGTGTTTCGGAATGCACTTGTCGCAACCGAATTCCGTGTCACACTCATAACCACACTTAGCCCTTATCCCGGAACCATATGCATCCAGAGTTGCTTTAAGCATTCTGGCAGTCGTCAGTGCATCTTTGACGTCCTGTTGACTAGGTCTAGGAGGTTCCCCACCGAAGGACTTCAAGTACCTCCGTGTCTCGGGTTCTGTCGGCAACATCTTTCCGTCAGGTGGGATGTTGATGAGCATCGGATTATCGTCGAAACGAATAGCTGGCAACGCACATGAAAAGGTAGCTGACATGTCACCACGACTATCGGGCATATCCTTCCGGAATGCATAAGCAGCGTCGGCTTGGGTACCCGATGCCGCGGCGATCAATGCCCCTAGGATGCAGACCGCAGCGGGAACTTTTGGTGATTTTGGACCCTTTCGCTTGTCCGAACCCTTGCTGCGCTTAGAGTTCTTCGACCCCTGAGAGCCCTTCGAGTTGGACCGCGATTTGCGATGGCCCTTCTTCTCCTTCTTTTCTTTCCCTTTGCTGCCTGCGCTTCCTGGTCTTCCCCCCTGAGAGCCGCCTTGTGACGCCGCAGCAGCGCTTGGCTTGCCTGTGTGGAGGAACGTACATGCACTTCCTTTCTTGCATCGCCCACTCTTCCAGAACTTGCATTCTCTGGGTTTTCCGTCGTTGCCAGACGGTGACTGAGCGCGACCTCCACCTCTTGAATGCGACCGGCCTCTCTTCTCAGGGATCTCATGCTTGTACTTGCATTTGTCTCCTTTGCTACACTTACCGTTCTGTACGAACTCGAAACAAAATCCCTTAGGGACGAATTTCTTCTTGGGAGCGGGGGCAGATGGTTTCCCATCAGCACCATATTGCTTGGCAATCCGTTCCCGGTTGCGTTCAAGACGCTTGCGACTCAAGTAGTTCGTAGCCGCGTCATACAAAAACTTGTAGATCTTCTCTGGCTGCCCTGGTGTTGCCCTTTCATAGATGTTGATATCATGTGCGAGGTCTTTGAAGCGCTTAATCTGCCTATGGAACAAGGGCTCAAGGAAGTTCTCATCGGGGGTAGTCTGGATCCCTGACAATACAGTTTCCCAGTTGTGCATGAAAGTCTCAAGCTTCTCGTTGACCATCTTGACTGACAAGAGATCCTCAAACTCGTAAACTGAACCATGCTGTGCGTTGGTAGAAAAGAAATTATCCAACTTGAAAAGCACTTGTCGTCCCCGAACAAGTCTCCCGGCATTTGCCTCCCGCTCCTTGAAGGTATCAACCTGTCTCGCAAAGGCACCTTCCAGGATGTTAGTGACCGCCGACAGTACCTTAGCATCCAAAGTGACGAACCCTTCCGGGTCGTGAAGATCTTCTTCCTTGACATCTTTCTCCCAAACCTTGGAAAGCCACGAAAAGGCATCATCGGGACGATCGGATGCGGCAACGACCGCTTCACGAACCCTTAGCCTCCAATTCCTGTAGCTCTCAGGTTGCGGGAACTTGGGGAAGGTAATCTTCTCAGCTTCTTTCACTTTGGGCTTGTCGTCTTTCTCGGGCTTTTCACCACGGTCACCAACAGCTTCACTCATCCGCTTAAGGAGCTTCTTCATGGTCTTCCTATCAATGCGGGATGATGAAGAACTCGAATCACCGGAGCTACTGCTAGAGCTAGAAGGGGAAGACGAAGGATCTCGCCTACGTCGCCTGCGCGACTTCTTCTTCTTATGCTTCTTATCCTTCTTGGACTTCCGACTGCGACGATCATGATCATCATCGCCTCCGCTGGGGCCGTTGCCATCAGGCCCGCCGCCACCACCACCGCCACCTGGGCTGGAGCCATCTGGAGGGGTTCGCCTCCCGGCGTCCGTCGCCTGTTCCGTAGGAGTGTCACCTCCATGCTTCGGGGTGGAAATGGGATGCACGGGAATGCCGGGTGGAGGCCCTTGTGGAATTCCCTCTTGAATCCTCAAAGCAGCATCTCTAGCTTCGAAATCTCGAACCCTGGAGCTTAATGCACTATTCTGCTGAATCAATACCTCTGTCTGCTGACGCTGGGCGTGAAGCTGCCTCATCAGTTCATCCATCCGAGATGACATGTCAGCGACCTCATGGGATCGCATTGCATCATTCTGACGGGCAGAAGTTTCCACTTCGCGAAGGCGCCTGGCATTGCTGTTAGCTTCCTCTAAAGCTCTACGGGCAGCTTCCGCTTGCCGGTTGGCTTCAATGACAGCGAGTTCCCTCGCGCTTTCGGTTTGTTGGAAACGAACTTCACCTTGACCCATTTCAGACCTCTGAATCGACAACGCAATGTTAGCATTGCCTAATTCGTTCCTCAACTTGTTCACCTCTGCAAGCCCACTATTGTACATTGCACGGAGCTGCTCCTGATGTTCTGCTCCCAATTCGCCGATAATCTGATTGTGTCGTGCCTCGGCGGCAAAGGCGACCATCGGAGATGCATCCTGATTAATCGTCAACTGCCTGGCATCGACAACCTGAAGGTTCTGGGTGAGGCTTGCTTGATGATAGTGAGGTGAATAGATTGGTGTTGATGGGCTGGGCACGCCCGTAGCATGAGCCAATGGTCCAGGTATTCCTACCGGAGTAACAGGTGCAATAGATACTGGCGTAGTAGGGACACGTTCCCTAAGCAACGAATCAATCGGAGAGTGCGCTGCATCATGTGACATGATTGCCAGTCCGTCATTCGGCAAATGACTATCACCTGTTGGCATTAATGGAGGAAATCCTTGATCACTTGCTTCATCAGTTGCCAATGTCATATCTGAGATACCCGTTGGCACTGGCTCGGCTGTGTCCTCCATTCCGGTGTTACCTGCAGGATTTCAGGAGCGACCTGGAAAAGGATATGGCTCGACTAGGCTACGGCTGATAACCTATAGATAGTGCACGATAGCACGAATCGCACACACACTTTTTGTCTTGAGCCAAGCAACAGTAAAGGTCGGTAGACATACGTACAAAGAGCAATAAAACAATTGTGAGGATTCCGAGTCCCTGAACCATATCAAAGAAACAACTTCCCACAAGCGAGCACACGATTACCCTGCCGGCCAGATCACCCTGAACCCCACACCCTTAGATCTTTACCCTAACCCGCCCCGCAAACCCTAAACCCCCAACCCTCTAAACCCCCTTAAATCCCGAAACCCTAAACCCCTAAACCCGAAACCTCGAAACGCTGAACCCCAAGCCTAAACCCGGAAACCCTAAACCCTAAACCCGGCTAAGTTGCAGCAGCCGATGGCGCGGCCATCACCGCCATCTTCGAAGGTGGCGCGTCCATGGCTTACAGATCGGGCGCGTTAGGGCTTCTTTGTTTTAAAGGATCTGGGGTTCAGGGTTTCGGGTTTAAGTCTGGAGTTTAGGGTTGCGGGTTTAGCATTTCGGGTTTAGGGGCCGCTTTGGAAACTTTAGGGCTTTAGGGTCCTGTGCTTAGGGGGGTAGAAGTCGATGGCTTAGGGATCATCTTAGGGCATCTTGCCTTAGGACTTTTCCTGTGATTTACGGCCTGCGGTGTAGGGCTTCATGACAAAGGCTAGATCCGCACAAGCCGTAACCGCATGCATAAAGCCTTGGCTGCACGATCCTCAGCCCTATGCACTGTAACACCTGCAGACTGGCGGTTTAGGGTTTATACCCTTAATATACCCATTATATAGCCCATTGTAGGGTAGGGGTCCCCATTAAGGGTCCCTCCTTTCCCCTTTGACCCAAGGAAGCGACCGCGCGATGGAGCAAAATCGGCTCCGATAGCAGGCTGCAGGTGACTTGGGCCCTCGCATAAGCTGGGTACTACGGTGGATGATATGAATCCCTAGGGTTCCTTTAAAGGGATCTATTAAGGGGTACCTTTAAGGGCTTCCTTTAAGGGATCTGTAGCGTTTTAGGGTTTAGGGTTGATGATATAAATCCTGCATGACCTTCAGGACCCGAAACTATGGGAACTATGGTATATTCGTTATTATGGGGCATGCAGGATTTATATCATCCCTAAACCCTAAACCCTAAATCTAGACCCACACCGATCCTCCGCTTGCGCGTGGCGCAAGGCGAGGCTCTGCTGAACCTCCTTGGCCTGGGTGTGTCTCTCGGATTCCAACTTGGAGGTTTAGGGTTTGGGGTCTAGGGTTTAGGGTTTAGGGGTTTGGGTTTAGGGTAGGGTTCATGGGTAGCTATAACTGGGCTTATAAGTAGGGTAACAATAGTGATAATCCGTATTAAGGGACTTACAACTCCACTTATAACTACCCATGAACCTCCAAGAAGAGACTCCAATATCCCTTAATTAAGGAGCATACCTAAATTAAGGAATACCTAGGGTTAGGGTTCCTTTTAAGGGATCCTATAAGGGGTCTCGATTGCTTAGGGTTTAGTGGATTCCGATATCCCTAATAATTTAAGAGTACAGCTTACATTGTAGTAGGATCGCTAATATAATTTGAGGTATCTTCCTTTAAAAAAAGGGATGGTGGTGTCTCTCGGATTCTCGGGATCGGGTTTTGCGTACTGGCTTCTGCTTGCTTTCTGGGGAGTTTGGTGTCAGGCTGCGTCTGAAGGCAGGCTGGGGGACAAGGACCCTTAATAAGGACCCCTCTTCAATATAGCGATTATATACCCATTATATAGCCCATTATGGGGTAGGAGTCCCCATTAAGGGTCCCTCCTTTTCCCCTGTGAGTGTAGAGGTGAGCAAACTACACAGCATAAGCGTTGCTGGTCGTCGCCTTTGCTGCTTTGACTCGCACTACTTGTGCTTATGCGTATAGTTGTATTATTCTTTGATACCCTGCCGTGTCCCTAAACCTCAAACCCAAAGCCCCTTTTGGGCCTTTGGGCTTGGGTTTGAGATGGTGCGCTTGCGAGGTACTGGGCTCGATTGTTGAACTTGGCTTCGGCATTTGTCGGTTGGAAAGACAAACGTGACCCAAACCCCATAACCCCAAGTTCCCACCCAGATCCCCCAACTACACTCTAATATACCCCCAAACACCCACCATGAAGGATCTATTTGAAGGCCAACCCTTATCGCGACCCGTAGCTTAAAAACCCTAAACCCCTTAACCGCTAAAACCTAAAACCCCAAAACCCTAAACCCCTAAAACCCTAAACCCCATAAACCCCCAAAACCCTAAACCCCTAAACCCTAAACCCCTAAACCCCCTAAACCCCCAAAACCCCCAAAACCCAACCCCCAAAACCCCCAAAACCCTAAACCCTAAATCCCTAAACCCTAAACCCCTAAACCCCCAAAATCCTAAACCCTAAATCCCTAAACCCTGAAACCCCAAAACCCCTAAAACACTTCATCCCGCAGAGCTGAAGTACTGCATGAAGCTTCAAACTTTGAGACCGGCTCGCCCCTTGGGAGGTTGCCGGAAAGCCTGTAATATAGGGGCCTTAATAATTATTGTGGGGGGTTCCTTATACATTGTAATTATAATATGAAATACACCCAAAAAGCTTATTCTAGTTATGAAAGCTCCTATATTAATGCCTGAACGGCGCCTCAATCCGTTTTGAAAGCTGCAGCCAACCTCCGATTTTCCTCGCTCTTCCCCACTGCAACCCTCTACCTTACACCACAGCTTCTGTTCCGGAGCGTAACATCTATACTGTATCTAAACTCTGATAGTCTATATCCTGAACCCTAATTAAACCTAAACTCTATACCCTGAACCCTAAACCCCATACCCTAAACTCTAAACCCCACACCCTAAACCCCGAATTTCCTCGAATTCATGCGCTCAAAAATCTCGGCTCCCTTGCGCGGGCCCGGAGCTCTTCCGCCGTGCGCCGCGGGGCGGAACTCCTGAAGACTAGGTGAATATACAAGAATCCAGAGCGAAGGTGTCAGTGATGCGTAGAATAGAGTGTTGGGAGAAATTTCGAGATCTACCGAAGCTGTCCACCAGGACGCAACTCTCGCGCTGGCCCATAATATTATAATTACAATAAGGAACCTCCAAAATAGTATTGGTAATTATTCTCGCAGCAGGGCCCTCCTCGCAGCTGGCACCATTGCACCGCCAACGACTCAGCAGGCAGCTTTTAAAACTGCTTGCAGGTCATCGATTTGGCCACGGAGGTTTTGAGGTGAAATTTCAACACTCGCCTATTGGGCTTAGTGTCACGACGACGACGAACATGAGCTGGACGACGATAACCACCACCACCAGCAGCAGCAGCACCACCACCACCAGCACCAGCACCAGCACCAGCAGCACCACCGCCACCGCCGCCACCAACAACGCCACCACCACCACCACCGCCGCCACCCTCGCCACCACCGCGCCACCACCACCACCACCACCACCACTACCACAACCCCAACTACCACCACCACCATCACCGCTACAGAGCTGGAGATTCTCATTTGGTCGGTACGTTCTACTACTGCAACTACCACGACCCCTGCACTTCAAACCCCAAGACTCTGAACTCTAAAACTCCAAAACTCTGAACTCAAAACCTCCAAAACTCTGAACTCAAAAACCCCAAGACTCTGAACTCAAAAAAACCTTCAAGACTCTTGACCCCGCTCCAAATAGGTGGAAGATCGGCTGGGGCCCGATCGTTTTTCCTCCTCCGCCTCTGTGCCCTCCGGTGCTCCTCCGTGAAAACAGGCTTCTAATCATATACTATATACTATATACTACATATACTATACTATATAAGATACTCCTACTCATCTAGAAAACTGGTTCGGGGGTTCCGCATTCCCAGAGACTCCAATATGCCTTAATTAAGGCATATACCTTAAATCATATTAGGGATCCTACTATAGATTAAGGTATATTCCTTAATAAAGGGATATTGCAGTCTCTGGGTTTATGGTTCGGGGTTTAGGGCTCAGAGTTCAGGGTTTGGGGCTCACTGTTTAGGGTTGAAGTTTAAGGTTCAGGGTGTAGGGCTTGAGTTCTTACAGATCCCAAACCCTAAACCCTGAACCCGCGAGCCGTGAACCAAAAAGCTTCGACACAAAACGCTAATCCTGGCTCTGGGGTTTAAGGCTTTAAGGCTTTAGGGCTTTCTGTATGTAAGCCCTGGGGTCAAAATTTCTAGGTTGGCCCTTTAAAGCCTCTGAAAAAAATCGTAAATAGGGTCCTATTAAGCCCAATAAGTGAAACATAAAGTATCCCAAAGGCCGACCTAGATTTAAAAGGCATTCGGACTTCAGGTCAGGATTGAACCTTCCACCGAAATCAACGCTGCCCAGTAATAGAATTACAAGGGAAACTTGATGCAAACGATCATAAGACTCTTAAAGAGCCCTCATACTGTTGATGATATAAATCCTGCACTACCTTAAGGACCCTCAACTATGGGAATTATGGTAGATTCCTTATTATGGGTAATGCAGGATTTATATCATCAACCGTACCCTCATTGAGAGCCGTACTTGCAAAGACCCAAATCAACCCCCAAACCCTACCTTCAAGCCAAAATATAAAACCCCCCAAGAAGCGCCAAGCCTACAAGCCCTTCAAAACCTAGACCTTAGAAGGGACCCCCACCCTGTAATAGTGGTAAAATAGAAATAAAGAATAGGGCCCTAATATAATCCTTATACTCACTATTACAGGGTGGGGGCCCCTCCTAACCTAGACCCTACCGCCCCCCAATTAAACTCCTAGACCCTAAACCCTAACTGCAGGTCTCGGTCGTCAGTCGGCTTTTCATTGTTTCATTGTGGCCATCTGGATACTTTGGAGCCTAGCCCGGCGAACCTACAGCCTGCGCATGTGAACCATGATGTCTAGGTTCACCAGTAGCCCCTTAATATTAAGGGTGCCCTTTTTCC